GTGGCGCGCGGGGGTTCCTGAGCGTGGACGTGGACCTGTCGGCCCTCGACGTGAACCAGTGCGACCCGGCGCCCGGCCCGCCCTCTCTCTCCGAGGTTTACGCCTTCCGCGGCACGCACAAGTGCCACAACGCCACCACGCAGGTAGGTGCAGCGCTGGCGCGTAAACAATGGCCACAGCCAGTGAAACCAGGTGGTCTTATGCATTTTCCCATTATAAAAAGTATCCATTATAAAAATATATTTTCCGGCTAACAAATTTATAGAAACAATACTATCAGAAAGTTTCTAAATATATGTAAATAAAATTGAGTGTCGGTGATTTCAAAATGATTGCAACTTTATTATCACACATGGTTATTTAAATAATATAAAAACCAATTCAATTGTCTGTTGTAAGAACGCGCTGCGAAAGCCACCATAATGTAAAATAACACCAAATTCAAAAAATGATAATCGCATGATTGATGTGAATGAGCATGTATGGAATTTAACGAAATAAGAAAAGTATTGTTAATTGTATATGTTGATATTTATATTTTACAGTAAAACCTGTATTTGTACGAAATGTAAAGGGTATCTTCGTCTCACTTATCATAATGACTGGAAAAGAAATGATGATACTTCTTTTTAAAAACTTTCCTTCAACCGGAGTTGTTGTTTCTATTAGTTGCTTATTGTTGACATTTATTCCTTTTGATCAAATGTATTGCCCTCTTCTACAAATCTTTGATTGTCACAAATAACCGCTCAATTTTAAACGAGGGAATTCATTCAACTGATCTTATAACCCTATAAGTGTTTTACTATGCTTAGTTATATTTGAATAAACATACCTGCTATGGATGTATACATTGTCTACGCATGTACAGTTTGTAATATTTGTTTAATTGGATATAATTCTTCTAACGGTCAGTAAATTCTTAAACACTTTTTTTTCCTACAAAAAATTACTTATTAATAAACAAAGTGACCAAGCGTCAGAATAGAAACATATTCTTTGATATTCAGTAAACAGTTTCTACGCTTTCATTTCTACATGATACTCACAAATGTCACTTTTTTATTTCTCTCTGCTTGTAGCTTTATAGTTGTAATCTGTTCATGTCCAGATTCGATATATTATTTGAAGAAGGAAATGTTCTTCGAAAAAAACTTGGCAAGGAGCCAATTAACGATGAAGAGTTGAAGGAGACTCAACTTTCAGTTCATCGACATCTGGCATTTATGGGTCGGAGAAAATATGAGAGGGAAATCAATAAAACATTTCAGTCAATTACCTTTTCCTGCCCGACTCTGGCTCTCTTAGTTCCAAAATAACATCTCGTCTACGTCAACAAAGAATTCAGGGCGTGTTTTAGGAAGGAAAAAATAATGAATAGGTTCTTCAGAGCTTCAGGTCCGAAATTATCCATTATAAAAATATTTTTCTGCTAACAAATTTATAGAAACATTAACATCAGGATTGTCCAAATATATATTAAATTGAGTGATGGTGGTTTCAAAAGAATTGCAACTTTATAAACACAATTGGTTAATTAAATAATACAAAAACGAATTCAATTGTCTGTTTGCTCGAGCCAATCTCGGAAACGGATGAGGTTTTCGCTGCAAGGTAATGGTATATTACGCCACTACGAGTAGTTTATAATGTTAGGATTTAATTGTATGAGTTCATGTTTTGAAAATAAGCGACTTTAGGAGCCAGTTTTCATTTTTGAAGGAACGCAATAAATCAACATTATAAACGAGTTGCATAGGTTACTTTTTTGTATAAAAGCATCACAAATATTTAAGATAGTCAAAGGTAATGTTTTAAAACAACTTTATTGAGACGTAACGGGTATTTAACACCATGCGAAAAACCGGTGGTCGGCTGTTTGGTTTATTCTTTCCTCCTTACGATTCTCTCGCTGCGATTGGCAGAATGTGTGATGCAATTATTCACGCCATAAACGGCAAATACGTCATAATCTGGGCCATAATATGTTATGTTATGAACGATTTCTAGTAACGAAAAAGGTCGTTTGTTATGTTGGAATAAAAGAAAGATATTTATCAACCATAAGTAAGATCATTTTTTTAACTATGATTTTTTACCACAAACGTAACTAGCTGAAGCCGTGCGAACTTTACACTCTTGGTAAATAATTGTTTTAAAAGTGAAAAGGAACAGGTCGTCTGAAGTTCGGACCCAATATAAATTGTATCCCAACTTCGAACGGCCAGCCCTGAACTGTTTATTAAAGCATTATAGGCCCTTCAAGACGGTCCTACTGACGGTCACTGATTTTATTTTACATACACACTATGTGATCAAAAGTATCCGGATACGTGGCTGAAAATGACTTTTCAGTTCGTGGCGCCCTCCGTCGGTAATGCTGGAATTCATTAGGATGTTGGCCCACCCTTAACCTTGATGACAGCGTCCACTATTGCAGGTGTACTTTCAATCAGGTTCTGGAAGGTTTCTTGAGGAATGGCAGCTCATTTTTCACGGAGTGCTGCACTGATGAGAGATATCGATGAAGGTCGGTGAGGTCTGGTACGAAGTCGCCGTTCCAAAACATCCAAAAGGTGTTCGATAGGATTCAAGTTAGTACGCTGTGCAGGCCAGTCCATTACAGGGATGTTATTGTCGTGTAACCACTCCGCCACAGGCCGTGCAGTACGAACAAGTGCTTGATCGTGTTGAAAGATGCAATCGCCATCCTCGAATTGCTCTTCAACAGTGGGAAGCAAGAAGGTGTTTAAAACATCAACGTAGGCCTTTGCCATGATACTGCCACACAAAAACAACGAAGGGTGCAAGCCCCCTTCCTGAAAAACACGACCACTCCATAACACCATTTTGGACGTATCCGGATACGTTTGATCACATAGTGTATTTCGGAGTTCTAGTCCATTCTGACCATTCATCTGTGCTACGGAGTCAGCCAATGAGTCTACCAAGTCATAAAATGATCTTTAAGCAGAATCGGTTTTCATATATTTAAATAAATGGCAAAGCCGATTTGGGCAAAAACGATTTTTTTGCTCAATGTTTTCTCGACTAAGTACTTCTTGGAAATATTTTATTTCCATTTATTTCTATTTAGATTCATCAAATAACTTTATTTAGGAATGACTTTGAAAAAACATGACTTAAAGCGTTTTGTAATCCCTTTAATGTGTTGCACCGTAATGTGTGTTGTAGGTTACGTGTGCCCCTGATTTTCAAAGTATAACATAATCTGCGAACATCTGTTTTCGTCTGAAATTTATTTGATCTAGGTCCGGATAATTCCCTAGCCATCAGTATGAAGGGGTTTTGTGATGAAGGTTTCTTACAAAAGACCAAACACTGTCATCTTTCCTTAGCGTGTTATATATAGAGGAGATTTTGTTACCCAAATGTATATTTTTAATCCAATTTGAATTTTTTTGACATTTTGGACACATGTCTTGAAAACAAGAGGAGTTATTGTCTACATTATGGTTCGTAATATCCTCATCTGCCATTTCCTTTAATCAAAATTTAAATGTGTACTCTTTCAATTTTTCGCGATTATCTCAAAAACAGTGAGGAATTTTCCAAAGTGAATAAAAGATTTTTGAAGTACAAAACTAAAGAATTTTGATTCATTCCTACTGCTCAATTAGATTCTGAGCTATTGAAAGCAACTGGACATTTGTTGGGAGAGCGCTAGCGGTGTGGGTCTGAGTGTGGGTGGGTAATGCAGAGGGAGGGAGGCGAGACGGCGCAGGGTGAGTATTCATATTTTTTGCTGTTGTTATTTAAGGTCGCATCAACTTCTAGGTCATTAGCGACCACTATTGCTCGTAACGGTATGGTAACTGTGAGGATGACTCGATAATGATGATGATGATAGGGGGTGAAAGGACGAACACAATACAACCATGCTCGAGGCAAGACTCGAACCCGGCACTACTGCCTTAGCGATCTCGGCCATCGGATCGGCATTCCTATTTTTGTTTAATGGTTAATTGTGATTAAAAAAATTCCAGGGAAATCAGGGTACATCAGCTAGTAGTATAATAATTGATTGGGTTAGTACTTTCAATAAGATTATAATCTAAGTAATAAAGTAATAAAGTTTCCACTTCCCAAAGGTTCTGAAAGAAAACTAATAGCATTTAACTTCCGAATTGTTTGTGCTGCAAACGTGTAAACTAATTTCGAAAAGTTTTCGCTCCATTACATTCTAGATAACAACTAAATTGGTTAAAAGTTTGCAGAAACAGAAAGATGTTAGAAAACAGAACTTGATTGATGTTGTTATATTATTTAACATTTCTTGAAGGAAATGCAGCATTCACTGTTTATCATGAATCGTGGGAACCCAAGTGCAGTAACAAAATTCCCGTGAAAGGGCGCCCGTGCTTCAGCGACCGCCGTCGCCGCCAGCGCCGTGAGGGCTGTTTTCGTCGACGTAATTTCCCCTTCTTCCCCTGACGAGATCAATTAGAGCCAGGAAGCCCAGAAAATTCAATTTTTTCATAAACGCTAGTCCCCCGCGCAGCGTTCTGCGCCAGGCGACGCGGCGCGGCGCTGCCTTCGGCTGTTTGCCTCGAGGAGGGAGCTCCACGGCAGACGCCCAAACGAGGAACTACCCGACGAACGCACGATGCGCAATTAAGGTGTAAGGAGATCCTTAAACGATAAAATACAGCTTAAAGTAAAGATCGCTTCTCATGAAGATGATACTTCCCATAATCAGGGTTCGAAATCGGGTGAACTAAAAGTTCTTTGAAAATGACCAATAAAATGTCTTAAAAATAAGAGAAAATTTACCTACACATGACTTAAAAATAAGGGGGAAAAGGCTTATGTTTTAAAAACTACTCACAAATGTGTAAGAAGATGTGTATTTATTCAATGAATTTTACAATTTTAAACAAACGTTATTTATGTAAAATTATATTTTAGGTGTCTTTATTTAAGGAGGAAATGTATACTTTAGTTTATATCTTCCAACCGTCAGTTTTGAAAGGTTGAAAGTTATCGAAGGGATGGGTAATTCTCAGAGTTCGAAAAAGTCCACTGCAGTAATAAATTTATGGCGCCTTCGTGAAACGATTGTGCCTCTGGGTTCTGGGGTTTAATCAATCCCTCTACATAGGTTTATTTAGGTGGCGTTGGT